ATGCCTTACCCTGCCTGCCAGTAATATATTACTGCACATTCCCCCTGTCTCCCTGCAACGTCTTAGTGCACATCCCCCCGTCTCCCTGCATAATCTTAATGCAAATTCCCCCTGTCTCCCTGAAATATCTTACTGCACATTCCCCCTGACTCCCTGCAATATCTGACTGCACATTCTCCCTGTCTCCCTGCAATATCTTACTGCACATCTCCTCTGTCTGCCTGCAATATCTCACTGCACATTCCGCCTGTTTGCCTGCATTATCTTACTGTACATTCCCCTGTTTCCCTGCAATATCTTACTGCACATCTCCTCTGTCTGCCTGCAATATCTTAATGCACATTCCGCCTGTTTGCCTGCATCTTAATAAGTATTCAGGTAGATAAGTCCCTGGGTCCTGATGGGATCTATCCCAGAATATTGAGGGAAGCAAAAGAACAAATTACTGTAGCATTGACAGACATCTTTGTATCCTCTTTGGCCACAGGTGAGTTCCCAGAGGACTGGAGAATAGCCAATGTTATCGCATTGTTTAAGAAGGATAACAGGGATAATCCAGGGAACTTAAAGGCCTGTAAGCTTCAGCTCTGTGGTGGGGAAATTGTTGGAAAAGATTCTCAAAGACAAGATCAATACGGATTTAGAAGCAAATGGACTTATTAGTGATAGACAGCACACCTCACTAACTTGATCGAGTTTTTTGAGGAGGTGACGAAGATGATTGATTTGGAAAAAGCGATTGATGTTGTCCACGTGGACTTCAGTAAAGCCTTTGACAAGGTCCCTCATGGCAGACTGGTACAAAAGATGAAGGTACATGGTATCAGGGGTGAGCTGGCAAGATCGATACAGAACTGGCTTCATCATAGGAAACAGAGGGTAGCAGTAGAAGGATGCTTTTCAGAATTGAGTGTTGTGAATGGAGTGGTGTTCCACAGGGATCAGTGCTGGGGCCTCTGCTGTTCGTTGTCGAGATAAATGATTTGGAGGAAAATGTGGCTAGTCTAATCGGTAAGTTTATGGACGATACAAAGATTGGTGGAGTTGCGGATAATGAGAAGGTTTGTCAGAGGATACAGCAGGATACAGATCAGTTGGAGGCATGGGCAGAAAAATGGCAGATGGACAAATGAGAGGTGAAGCAATTTTGGAAGATCAAGTACAGGCAGAAATTACACAGTGGGTGGCAAAACTGAATGTCCAAGTCGACAGATCACTCACAGTGGCAGTGCAGGTAGATAAGGAGTAAAAAAGGCCTATGGCATGCTTGCCTTCTTCAGAAGAGGCGTTGGGTATAAGGATAGGCAAGTTATGCTGCAGCTTTATAGAACTTTAGTTAGGCCACACTTGGAATATTGCGTACAATTCTGGTCGCCACACTACTACAAGGATGTGCATGCTTTGGAGAGGGTACAGAAAAGGTTTACCAGGATGTTGCCTGAGATGGGGGATTTTAGCTGTGAAGAAAGGTTGGATAAATTGGGTTTGTTTTCACCGGAAAGCAGGAGGTTCAAGGGTGACTGTATAGAAGTTAATAAGATTATGAACGGCATGGACAGAGTGGAAAGTATGAGGCTTTTTCCCAGGGTGGAGGGATCAATTACTAGGGGACACAGGTTCAAGGTGCAAGGGAGAGTGGGGAGGAAGTTTAAAAGAGATGTGCGAGGCAATTTTTTCATACAAAGGGTGGTGAGTGCCTGGAACACGCTGCCAGAGGAGATGGCAGAAGCAGGCAAAAATTCAAGAAGCACCCGAACGAATACATGAATAACAAGGGATTATAGGGATACGGATCCTGTAAGTGAGGACAGTTTTAATACGGAAGGGTAAAATGTGTCAGTGCAGGCTTGAAGGGCCAAAGGGCATACTCCTGTGCTGTATTGTTCTTTGTTCTTTGGAAAGTGCAGTAAAATATAGCAGGGAGACAGGGGAAAGTACAGTTGACACAAAAACAGAAGTTGCTGGAAAAGCTCAGCAGGTCTGGCAGCATCTGTGAAGGAAAAAATAGAGTTAACATTTCGGGTCCAGTGACCCTTCCACAGTTGGACTGCTGTTTGAAAGACCTAGCACAGATTGAGGGGCCGAATGTACTGTGCTATGATTGTATAAAGTAATGTGTATGAACTGAAAGGTTGAGTAGTGATTGGTATTATTGACAGAGAGCTGAGGTGGATGCAACAGTTTAGTCACTGAGTGAAGTGAGATCTGCAGAGAGTAGTGTGTACAATTTGGAGATAATCTTACTCTTCTTGACCACTCACATCAGATCATTCCATTACTTCCTGCACTGCACCAACAAACCTGAAGGAACACTCCAGACATTGAGCTCCACTGCAGTATGTTCTAACAGGAGGAATCTCCTCATTTCCACTTGTTTTAGCATGACCCATGGTGCATTGTCTGAAGTTTTGGATGCTTTCGTTCACATGTGTAGCCAATGTTCAACCTGGCGAAACTCAAGCTGATATTATAAAAAAGCAACAGTGCAGTTTACTTTAGAAGCAAGCGCGTATGAGAGGACAGAGAGATAATGCAAGGAGAGGAGTTCCTGAACCAGCAATTTATTCAAAGCTCAGTTGTCTAGAGTTTCCTATCCTAACCACGCACCTTCCAAGCACTGACTGACTTTAGCAGTCATCCACCAGAAGCTTCCCAAGCCCCCAGATGATGATCATGGCTGCATTTTCCTTAATGGACAAACCATTGGGGTCCTACTTAAAGGATCTGAGCCAAAATTCCAGGTAATGACGTTGAATGAAGGACGTTATGATAATGGGTCAGAACCCAAAAATACTGGATACTTGTTAACATATGATTCCAAAATATGTTGCATTTTAAAAGAAAGATGATACTATCAAATATGGTTTCAAATGTAATTTAATTGGCTGTCTGGACAGAGAGAGAGAGAGAGAGCCCAATGGGATAACACTGAAAGTTTCAAAGGAACTTCAAAGGGCTGTAAAGATAATGAAGAGCTGATAACCTCCCGCTCAGCATCAAACCAACTCCTTGTGGATTATGTCCCAACCTGCAGGCACATTTTATGATGTTTTCCCCTTTGAAGAATACGTAAAGAGAGGGATTAAGAAACCAGATTCAATTCTACTGGAGTATACTAGTGGGACTGAACACTGTCATGTGTACTCGCCTAGATTCAAGTGTTAGTGTGCTGTGAAGGTCACAATTGAAGAATTATCCCCTAGTTAACAGTATGTTGCAGGTAAAAACCTTCGCTCACTCTTACTACATAGCAGACAAAAAGAACAGCTCTCTTATGCTGGATGCTATCATGGTTGAAAGGGATCAGGACTATAGATTCTCAACCAATTCACAAAACAAAGGACTATGCAATCAAGAATTCAAGTATCAACATCAACACGACTGGCAATCTCAACTGCAACAGCAATGCGTCTCAACTGTCCAATCTTCACAAACAATTTGGAGACTGATCTGTATATCTTTTTTTTCACCTTTTATCTTTTTGGACTAACCTCTTACTTCCAATCTGAGTTGCTTTGGTAGTTCTTCTTGTATTTCATAATTAAAGAACTGACTATGTTTGTTAATTCAAAGGAGGCGTGATTAATTTGACTTATTTTAAAGTAGGCTTGTCTGGCTCTGGGAGAAAAATACCCACAAGGAACGTGATCCGTTCTAAATTAAACTTGTTGCAGAAAAACTAAGGTGAGAGGGAGATGCTGAATAAAGAAGGGAAGCCAATTCATCCCTCTTCAAATGGGAGCCAAACATTGGAGACATCCTGTAATGAATTGAGGAACTTCACCTGGGGTCTGGTTGAAACAAGGATCATTGAAACCCCTGCAGTGTGACTGCAGGCCATTCGGCCTGTCAGGTCCACACCAACCCTCCAAAGAGATTCCAATGCCCTGCCCTACCCTATCCTAGTAACCCTGCATTTCCCATTGGTAACCCACCTAGCCTGCACACTATGGGGTGATTTAGCACGGCCAATCTACCTAACTTGCTCATCTTTGGACTGTGGGAGGAAACTGGAGTACCCAGAGTAAACCCATGCAGACACAGGGAGAATGTGCAAACTCCATACAGACCGAGGGTGGAATCAACCCTGGGTCCCTGGCGCTGTGAGGTGGCAGCGCTAACCACTAAGCCACCATGCCACCCCTAACAAGGGGGTCAACAAGGCTGATCGTAAGTAGGGTTGTTAAAAGGAGTGTTCTGAGGAGGGGCTTCTCTTGTTAAGGAGAGATAGACAGGAATGGTGGCTACATCAAATCAGGTAACATTAACTTGAGCTTGTGATATTTAATGGGGATGCCTGTTAGAGACTTGTTTCAACTGGCCACCCACATTGACATGAATGGGAGGGGATGATGATTGAGCGATTAAAGACCAGATAACCTGCTATTACCCCCATTTAACATATGCTTCAATGGGACCATAACTCTGGCTGCCTTTGACAGTAATTGGGTGTCAATGATTGCTGTGTTCATTTCATTTAAAAGGCAGAAGTAAAGATGGCCCAAGGAAAGAAAGAGGATTGTGCCTTCATAGAAACTGCCCTTGCAACTATTTGAATCAGATCGTTGGGTATAAGTTTAGACTGGATATCTACTGATGCTTGTCTTGATGTTGACTGGATGATGGTTAAGTAAATACAGTAAAGTTTCTGTGCTGAACTCCACAGCACACAGAGCTGAAGCTGAACAGCGAGGTGTACAAAAATTGGAAAGATCCTCCAGTCCCTGCTTACCTACAGTTCTACTTCTTCAATGTGGAAAACAAACAGGAAATCTTACAGGGAGGGAGAGCCACCGTGAGACAACTTGGGCCGTACACATACAAGTAAGACACACCGTTACTTCTGTCATTCGAATGTGATGGAAAGAGGAGTAGAAGTCCAATAATTTATTCCACTGCACTATAACTGTTAAGCTTGCAATGCGATATCTATTCAAATATTCTTGACAGTTTGAAGATTTCTGTTTTTAATGGATGACTGTACACAGAATCCCTAAAGTGTGGCAGCAGGCCATCCAGCCCATTGAGTCCACACTGACCCCCTGAAGAGCTTCCCAGCCCCATTCCTGTCACCCTGCATTTCCTGTGGCTAACCCACCTAGCCTACACCTCCAACCACCACCCCCCCACCCCAGACACTACAGGAAATTTAACACGCTCGATCCACCCTAACCTGCACACCTTCGGACTGTGGGAGGAAACCGGAGCACCCAGAGGAATCCACATATGGGGAGAATGTGCAATCTCCACACAGACAGTCGCCCGAGGGTGGAATCAAACCCAGGTCATTGACACCCTGAAGCAGCAGTGCTCACCACTGATCCCCTGTGCTACCTGTATATGTTGCGATCTGTAACAATTGAGTTACATCTCAAAGTATTTCAAGGCTTATTGGTGATTAATGGTATTGGGATGGTACAAGGGAGATTTCCCTGGATGATTCCAGGGATGCGGAGGGGATTTTAGCTACAACATAATGCAGGAGCAGCTGGAGTTATTCTCTTGAGGCAAAGGATTTAATAGAAATTTATTAATTTAGGAGCAGATTTAATAGAGGTGTTCAAAATTATGACAGGTTTAAATAAATTGTGCAATGCTGCTTCCATTAGAGGATGGGACAAGGACAAAGGGAGGCAGATTTAGGATTTTAGGTGAGGGATATTGTGGGCATGGGGTTTGTAGGGAGGAAGAATTGTTTCACACAGCAAGAGGTAGGGTCTGAGAACCTGCTCCTTATGAGGGCAGTAGAAACAGGAAATGATATGTCATTACAAAAGGAAATTGAGGGGGTTAGTGTTTAAGAGAACCAAACAAGTAGGACCACAGGAATGGGACTGACTTGATTGCTGTACAGAGAGCTGGCATGAACTTGATGAGCTGAATGGCCTCTTCCTGTGCAGTAATGGCTCTATGGCTCACTAATTTTTTTCCCTTTGTACTGGAGACCGATGATAGCAGAACCATGCGGTTCTAACTTTCGGGGAAAGCGAAACAGCTCGTAATATCAGAAAGCTGACCACAGAAGGAATATTTCCACTTGTGGAGAACAATAGGTCGAGAAGCCATTTTGTTCGTACAGTCACCAAGAAATCAGATGGGGAATTCGGAAGAAACTCCTTTACCCAGAGGGACAAGTGAAGGTGGGGGGGCTACCATGGACAGGAATTTTATATCTAGGTTATTCATGAGAAGTTAAAGCCTACATTTGGCTGCAAGGGTGTTCATGGCGATGATAGCAAAAGAGGGTCTGGTTTGTTCCAGATTATCTCCCTGGCTGTGTCAAACCCAACACTGAGAGCCAGCAAGGATGTGTTGTTCCCACCAGGCAGTGAGAGAATGACCAACTAACTCCAGGAGTCAAGGCCTGATTAAGGGTAACAGAAGCTGTAGCAACATCATTGCTGATGACCTGGTTCCTAGTGGATTTGACTTGGTCAGGGAGATGCTCACTACACCGAAGCCAGTGAAAGAGGAGATGGAACCAATGACATGGCTCACTCTTTCTGAAGTTGTGCTCTCTGTGACTCAAGACCCCTCTCCTTACACCACCTTTTGAGCCACATGTTTGATTCTCTGCTTGATTTCATTGATCCTGTGGCAACTGTTGCCAATAGGCTAAATTTTTTGTTTGGGCAGCACAGTGGCTCAGTGGTTAGCACTGCTGCCTCGCAGCTCTAGGGGCCTGAGTTTGATTCCACCCTCTGGTGTCTGTACATGTGGAGTTTGCACATTCTCCCCGTATCTGCATGGGTTTCCTCTGGGTGCTCCAGTTTCCTCCCATAGTCCAAAGACATGCAAGTTAGGTGGACTAGTCATGCTAAATTGCCCCATAGTGTCCAGGGATGTGAAGTCTGGGTGGGTTCGCCATAGGAAGTAAGGGGTTATGGGGATAGGGTGGGGGTGTGGATATGGGTGGGATGCTCTTTGGAGGATTGGTATGGACATGATGGGCCATAGGAATTCTATGAATTGGAGGGATATAAAAGTAGGCTGGGACTTTTCTCGCTGGAGTATAGGAGTTTGAGAGATGACCTTATAGAGGTTTATAAAAAAATGAGGGATATAGATAAGGTGAATGGCAAGTTTCTTTTCCCTATGGTGGGTTTTAAGGTGAGATGAAAAAGATTTTAAAAAGACACAAGGGGCACTTTTTTAACACAGAGAGTGGTTCGTGTGTGGAATGAACTTCCAGAGGAAGTAGTGGATGTGAATACAGTTACAACATTTAAAAAACATTTGGATAAGTACAACAATAGGAAAGATTTGGAGGGATATGGGCCAAGGGCAGGCAGGTTGGACTAGTTTAGTTTGGGATTATGGTTGGCATGGACTGGTTGGACGAAAGGGTCTGTTTCCATGCTGTATGACACTATGACTATGACTTTATTTTCCCAACAGCAGACGTTAAGCTAACTGACCTATAGTCAGCTGCTTTTGTCTTCTTCCCTTTTAAAATCAGAGCATGACTCTGGCAATTTTCCAACATCTGGGTATTTTATAAAACCTAAGGAGTCCAGGAATACTATGGCCAGTGCATTTACAGTCTCTGTCACTACTTCCTTCCATACCCTAGGATGCATCTCATCAGGTCCAGGAGACTTATCAGCCTTTACCTCCATTAGTTGTTCTGGCACTTTTTCTCTACTGATAGTTACACCCTCTCCAAATTTTGTCCTTTGATTATTTAGTAATTTTTGAATGCTACCAGTATTCTCCACCACAAAGGCCGGCGCAAAGTATTCACTCTATTCCTCTGTCATTTCCTGGATTCTAATTCCTTCTTCTACAGTCTTGTTCTCTATGTTCACATTAGCCTCTTCCTTCTGCTGTTGTTGACAGCTGTTGCTGTCTGTTTTTATGTTTCTTATAGAATATTTTCTCCCATTTTTGGATCATCTGCTGTTAATTTTTTAAAACTTTCCAATTGTCTGATTTACCACTATCTTCACCAAATTGTATGTTTTCTCTAAGTTTGAAACTATCCTTAACTTGGTTGGTTTATGCCCTTCCTACGGCCCTCCTTCCTCAGTGGAACATATCTTTGCTGTGAGCAATTAATTATTTCCTTAGACATCTGCCATTGCTCATCAATCATCTTTTTTTTATCTAAACTCATTTCCCAATCCATTCCAGCCAACTCTGCCCTCAAACCTTTGTATTTATCCTTATTTTAAGTGTAGAATTGTTGCTTCTGACCCAAATTAAATGCTAAACTCTACAATGTTATGATCATTGCTTCCAAGTGGACCTCTCAATCTGAGATCATTTTATTACCATGCTTTATTACACATTTGCAGATGCAAAATGGCCTGATCCACAATTTACTGATCTAGACATACAAATTCTTTCTCATGGCCACCTCTGCCAATTTGATTTTCCCAATCTGTAACAAGTCATACATGATTAACGTGCTATAATACAATGTACCTGATAAACCATAGACTATTCCCAAAAGTGCCTTCTTTCCCTTGTCATTTCTTACCTTTGCACATATGGTTTCCCATCTGATCCAAGATCATTCCTTGCTATCGTACATATACTAACAAAGCTACAGCACCATCCTGTCCTTCCAAAAATTCACCACCCTGAATATTTCATTCCTAGCTTTTAATATCCTGGCAAAGTTAGACAGATTTTCCAGGAAGTGGCTATCTCTTACAGCTGTGTGTGTTCACTGCATCCAGTGGGATAGCCAGCTGTGTATGGACACAGTCTGAACCAAGGCTGTAATGAGGTCAGGAGCTGAGTGGCCCTGGCGGAACCCAAACTGGGCGTCACTGAGCAGGTTATTGCTGAGCAGTTGCTGCCTGATAGCACTGCTGATGACACCTTCCATCACTTTACTGGTGATTGAGAGTAGACTGATGGGGCAGTAATTGGCCGGGTTGGATTTGTCCTGCTTTTTGTGTACAGGACATACCTGGGTAATTTTTCACAGTGTAGTAGATACCAGTGTTGTAACTGTATTGGAACAGCTTGGCTAGAGGAGCAGCAAGTTCTGGAGCACAGTCAGGCTGCCAGGGACTTCCCTGGGCATATTGAAATCAGCTGATAGGAATCACATCTTGTGGCGTGGGGTTGCTCTCCTTCATTGCCACGAAGGATCTTATCTCTATGAATGTAATGACAAATAACAAAGTTATGATTGGCACTTCTCTATAAGGTCCCTCATGTGACAAAAATCATGACTCATGGAGTTAAATTCCATTCCAACCTTGAAACTGGCCAGTTTGGGCAAACAGGTTTGTGCTGTATTTGAGCCTCGCACTGTCCCTACTGAGTGCACTCTTTGAAACTTAACTCATGATCTTGCTGCAAGCAAAAGATGCTTTGATCCATTTATGGAACTGTGAGCATGATCCACAGTTTGCTTTGCTATCATTATGGGTGGTGTTGTCCAAGAGGAGTACTTAAACCTTTTACCCAGGTACTCTTCCCTTATATGACAGACAAAAGACTCAGAATTTAATAAACAACCCCTCTTTATTTTAACTCTTTAAGTATTATACTCAATATGGAACATACATTCATTGCAACATTTGCTTCTGACTTCATCTAACGTAACTTCAACTTTAACTCACATCATTTAACTTCACTTTATCCTACTTAATTCACATTTAACCCAACTCTACAGGTTTGGGTTGGAACAAAGACTACCCTGTTTCGAGTGAAGTGGCCAATTTTGTTTTCCATTCAGGTCTCACCCCATGGTTCTTTGCCTTCTCTGAAGGTAACTTCAGAGCACATACTTCTCGTATGTTGGTACCGAAGGCTGTTCCTCTGTTCCGTTAACTTATCTCAAAATGTGCTTGGTTTCCAGAAACTTCTCTGGCACTCAGCCAATGAATTGATAAAATCCCGATCCCATCGTTTGATCCCAGCCAATGGAATTTTACTAGTTAAAAAAAAAACGCCCAAATATTAAACTGCCACATTCCAAGCCCCATATAATGTAACATGGTGGCAGTCTGTTGAGCTGATCACATGAAACCTGCCTTACTTGGTCACCACAGCAAACTACAGGTCACAATATGTCCTGGCTGGAGTTTTAACTGAGTTTAAACAGAGCTTAAACTAGCTTGACTGAAATTCCCAGCATGCTTGATTGTAGCTCATAAACAGGCTTGCAGCCATTTCTGCTACTGGCCATGTGACCACAGTGGAGATTTCCCACTTTTGTTTTACAGTGTGGGGCAAAGACTTGGCAACCATTGGGAAAACACACCCAGTTGCCCACAATTTGGGTTGGTAAGAGCTGACAGGCCAGCATGGGAAATCACGGACCTCAACAACACCATCCCAGGTCACCAATAGCTTCTGGCCTTTAAAAGTCAGCCCAATACACCTCTGAGGATCCAACAGGGGGGTGCGGTCAGGACGTCATAGGTGAGGCCATTTGAGAAGGGGGTAGTGGGGGACTGAGTGCACCCAGATTTGGGGGCAACTGTAGCCCCAAGCTCCGTAACCCGACAACTCTGGTTCCCCAGATAATAAACCAGCCATGGAGTGAGAGTCTATTCAAGGCAACTCACCCTATTAGTAACCCCCTTCTGCTCACCTCCAAGCAGGGGGCGGATTTACACCCAACAATTTCAACGCCGATGTCTGTTTTAAAGGGCTTGTCACATGAGGAGCGGGTTGAGGACTCTGGGTCTGTACCCAACGGAGTTTAGAAGGATGAGGGGGAGAAACTTACAGAATACTGGGAGGCCTGGATAGAGTGGACGTGGAGAAGATATTTCCACCGGTGCGAAAGACCAGGACCCAAGGACACAGCCTCAGAGTGAAGGGGACAACCCTTCGGAACTGAGACGGGGAGGAATTTCTTCAGCCAGGGGGTGGTGAGTCTGTGGAACTCAATGCTGCAGAGGGCTATGGAGGCCAAGTCATTGCGTGTTTTTAAAACAGAGATGGATAGGTTCTTGATTAGTAAGGGGATCAAGTGTTTTGGGAAAAAGGCAGGAGAATGGAGTTGAGAAACATATCAGCCATGATGGAATGATGGAGCAACCTGCTGGGCTGAATGGCCTAATTCTGCTCCTATAACTTATGCCCTTGATGTACATAGTAATGTTGTGTGGCCTGTGTGCTGTTTGGAATAAGTGAATACTTCTTACCTACTGTCTATTTCTCCAACACGTTGAACTTACCTAACCCGAGCAATACCTAACAGCTCCCAATCGATCTCATTCCAAACAGGGAGTTCCGACATCGTGCTAACGTGTCGTTGTTCAGCAATTCCACAATATCAGCCTCAACTCGGAGAAGCTTTGTCTTCGAGCCAACAATGTCAGTGGGTGATCCGAGGAAAGACATTGTCACAACAATTAATATCCCATTTGCTGTAAGTAGGGGGATGTACTTCCATAATATATATGCCTTGAGTGACCACGCTGTCTGCTGTAATAGGAGCAGAAGGAGGCCTTGTGTTTTGCTGACCTTTCAACAAGTTCTACTTTATCCACTGCTCCCCATGTTTCCCCTGGCTGGTGAGTCCAGGCACGCAATTTCAAAATAAGGGGGATGCCATTTAGGACTGAGATGAGCAGGGTCTTTTTTTAACTCAGACGTTGGTAAATCTTTGGAATTCTGTACTCCAGAGAGCTGTAGATGTTCACCAATTGAGTTTAAAATAGACCACAACAGATTTCCAAATGGCATAAAGAGTTATGTGGATAATGGAGTGAAAAAACATTGACATGGATGACCAGAGATAGTAAGAACTGCCGATGTTGGAGTTGGAGGTAAAACAGTGTGGAGCTGAAGGAACACAGCAGGCCAGATAGCATCAGAGAAGCAGGAAAGTTGATGTTTGTGTCCCAACCCGAAACGTTAACTTTCCTACTCCTTTGATGCTGCCTGGCCTGCTGTGTCCAACAACATGGATGACCAGTTCTGTTTGCATGGAATGGTGGAGCAGGCTGAATGGCCTACTCCCATCTCAATGTTCCTTTTATTTTAATCCCTCAGCTCTCTCCGCATCTAAAAATCTATTGATCCCCATCTTGATTATACTTAATGGCTGAGCATCCACAGCCCTTCAGGGAAAGAATTCCAAAGATTCACCACACTCTCAGTTAAAAAATTCTGGGTGGTTAAGAAGGCGGTTAGCACGCTTGCCTTCATTGCTCATACCTTTGAGTCTAGGAGTTGGGAAGTCATGCTAAGGTTGTACAGGATGTTGATGAGGCTTTTTCTGGAATATTGTGTCAAGTTCTGGTTGCCCTGTTATAGGAAGTATATTATTAAGCTAGAGAGGGTTCAGAAGAGATTTACCAGGATGTTGTCAGGAATGGAAGGTTTGAGTTATAAAGAAACGCTGGATAGGCTGGGATGTTTCTCTCGGGAGTGTGAGAGGTTGAGAGGCGACCCTATAGAGGTTTATAAAATCGTGAGGGGTATAGACAGGGTTAATGGTAGGTGTCTTTTGCTTGGGATGGGCATTTCAAGGCTAGAGAACACATTTTTAAGGTGTGGAGAGAGATTTGGAAAAGACATGAGCGGCAAATGTTTTACACAGAGGATGGGTCGCGTGTGGAATGAAGATGGAGATGGGTACAGTTACAACGTTTAAAAACACTTACATGAGTACATGAACAGGAAAGGTTTGGAGGTATATGGGCCAGGTGCAGGCAAGAGGGGTTAAAATTGAATCAGAGATAGTAGGAACTGCAGATGCTGGAAAATCCGAGACAACAAGGTGCAGGGCTGGATGAACACAGC